AGGTTCTAGGTGACCTACCCCAAGAGGTAGTTGACACCATCACTTCGGCGAGAGCACCGTCTACGAGACACGCTTACACCTTGAAGTGGAACCTGTTCGTCGAGTGGGGTTCTTCTCAATGAGAAGACCCCTGAAGATTCCTGATCAGGGTCGTGCTTTCCTTTTTGCAGCAAGGGTTGGAGCAAAGGCTGTCTCCCTCCAAATAAAATTATATCGGCCATTGGCCACCCTGCTTTCCAAGATATCGGCACTGTCATCGGCTGTCAAAAAAACAATATGTGGTGAGCCTGCAAGCGCTGCCCCCGGAAGAGGCAGACCCAGCCCTAGCTTTGCTTTGTCCCATCCGAGACTTGAGATGCTACAGAAACCGGACACAAAGCTTTAGGACCTCAGACCAGCTCTTTGTCTGTTTCACCTCAAATGGGTAGTGGCACTGAGAGGCCCTGGTTTTGTGTTGGCTTGCTAAAACTGCTCCAGAGTGTCCGTACTGTAGGCCCTGTCGAGCTTTTCCGTCCCCTCGGCAGCCAGACGTGGCGGAACGTCCAGCTCCAGGCCCTCACTCGCTGAATCCTTGAGAACCAGTAGAGGGCTGGGTTCCATATGTAGAGACCTAAATGGATCCCATATGGGTAAAGTCCACGGTATAGCCTCAGAGCCCGTGTTTCCCCAGCAGACTTCTGCCATTTCCAAGAGGGTTACAATCACCACTAATCTTCCAAATGCACCTAAACAGTTGTTCATATGTGTAACTGCTTCCGAAACCTCTTTCGGGAAGGATGGGGCTTCCACAACGTTCCTGTTCCAAGTGGATCGGGTACGTTTTCCCAGTGTTATCCAATCTCACTGAGTGGGTAGTACTATGACAACAGTGACTGGTCTTCTTGTTGCGAGCCCTGGCCTACACCACAAAGGGGCAGCATCCATGGCGCTTTGGTAGGGATCCCAATTCGTCAGTCACCGACATGACTCGGAGTGACTGACTGAAAGGGAACTAATGTGCATTGGCTCGTTTAGTTAAACTCGAAGTAGATTGGTCTCTTGAAGCGAGATCCCAATTCGTCGGTCACCGACGTGACGTCTCCGTTCCGACGGAGTTCTGTCACTTTTGCAATTGTGCAGTATTAAACAGCAAGAAGTATATATATGATATACTTATATATTATAGCATATATAGTATATACAACAGCATATATATATATATATATATATATATATATATATTATATACTTATATATTATATCTTAATTCACTTTATAAATACAAAAAGCACATTTTTCTTTCAGACTCTTTGTTTGCTATTTATTTCAGGATTGGTTGATGGCATAATTTGGATTTGCGGTTTGTCTGTCTCTTCAAACTGAGAGGTAATAGATTAATTCATTATCATGAATAAAACCTTCCCACTCCCCGTCAAGATTATCACACACAGCTCTTATACATCTGAATTGCTTGCATCTGACATCTGTCTCAAAATATGAGATCTCATATTTATATTCTATATGAATATAGGATCATATAGATCTCATAATGATCTCATATTCTAGGAAGACCTCAAAACGACCAATGTTGTACACATCCAGCTGTCATGACATCTGCACATATATTATTCAGTAATATAACACCCAGGATTTAGAAGTTCTACAGCTCACAGCTCTATAATCACTATAAATCTGTTATTTAGCTTGTGGCACTCTCTTTTGAATTACACTAGAATTACATAAGGAGTCTCAAGAGAGTCATTTGGATTAATTTACTAGGAACCATTTTTAAAGCTTTTTTTAAAGTGATCATCACCTATGCACTAATCAACTGTAAGATGTGACTAATGTCCGGCAATATCTTTAATACCATATTTTATACTGTTCTATGGAAATTGATTAGTCAATTTAGAGCTGAATCATTACATCAAACATAATTACTCTGAAG